AACTGTACTCTTATTTAAGGAGTAATCTCTTCTGATTGAAATACTTGTCTACGTGCTGTGTTTGTTGTACATGGAAAAGTGTGATTTTGTGCAAATTATGTAAAAACCAAATGTTATACATATTTGCTCCTCTATGTCTCTGTATAACTTACAAGATCCATTAATCTAAGCTACAAAGAGAAGGAGTAGAGGGGGTGGAGGGCATTCAGCTAATCATGTTCAGGGGAAATAGTATTTGTGGAGCAATTGCAGTGACAGGAGTGAACAATTGTACACTCAGTGATGAAACTGAAGAGATTCATAGCTAGGGTCTCTCAGTCTAGCAAACAAGCTTCTGCTTTTCCTCTTAGATTTATAGTTAGGCACCTTCGTTGATGCCTATGTCATCTCATACTGCAATGTTCTCCAGAGAGGACTGTCCTTGACGACTTGTTGAAGTCTGCCTCTATTGCAAAATATGGGAAATCAGCCATGTACCTGTTTTCTGGCGGTAGCACAGTTTTTAGGAGTTTTCAGTGAAAAAATTAAACCGTAGGTACTGATTTTAAAAAAGTTACAACTGCTCAGCCCATGCATAATGTGGGTTCTATATATTTTCTAACATCTAGAATCCTGTTGGTGATTTATGTGTGTGTTAAGTTAAATGGCATATGTCACCGGGTTGAATTCTCACAAACTAATGAGATCTGCTCATATTATTGGGGACACCTCTTTTGCGCATCAAATGTGTGCCTCTTAAAGCAACCAGTGCCTTGTTATTTTGCAGCAGCTCCCCATGGTGATTTATGCAGTGTAACTTGCACATATGTAAATCACATTCTGAGCAGCATGTAATCACAACTTTCATTTGCCTGATGGCAGTGAATGATAAAAACTTAAAAGGAATGTTTATTGTTATATGGTGCCTGGCAATAAAAAGTACTTTAAATCAGGGGTCCCCAAACCCTCGTCCACGGACCAGTCCCAGCCTGTTGTCCTTGCCAGGACCGGGCTGCGGAGACAAATCTCCTGCCCCCACACTCAAACATATGCACACCCCTCCCCCCACACCTCTTCCCACAGATGCACACATGGCCCCTCCCATACACACATGGCCCTTCCCTCCCACACAGCCCCTCCCACTAACACATGGACGCACACATGACCCTTCCTTCCCATACACAGATACACACAGCCCCTCCCATGCATGGACACACATGGCCTCTCCCATGTATGCACAGTCCCTCCCACCAACACAAGGATGCACGCACGGGCCTTCCCCCATACACACAGATGCCCCCCCGCACACACGCTAAATAGGTCCGTGGAGGTAAAAAGGTTGGGGACCAGTGCTTTAAATAATAAACAGCAATGGGAAATGACTAGTTACAAATAACAGATTACTTGCAATGAATTGCTTTTTCAATCATGAATTTGTAACTAGGTTACATTATGCTTGTTACTTCATAGGAGGTCATTTACAATGTAACTCTAACTACTTTTAGTTACTGTGTTATCATATCTCACTAAATAATAGAAGAAGAATATAACATGCTTCAGCTGTTAGCTTCTGCTGTGCCTTGCACTGCACCTCATTCAAACTGTTTTTCAGTATTTTAATTACTTTTGAGACACAGAGAAAAGTAAGAAGGTACTTTCAAAAACTGTAACAGTAGCTAATGAAATATTGTGGCCTTCAAACTGTAACTTGTGGCTTTTTAAAAGTACCTTTCCAAACTTTGACACATAATAGAGGACCATCATTCTGTTCAAGGTTTGCCTGAATATCTTCTGGGGAAAATGTTTGGAATAATTACCAGATAATTTAATTAATTAATTAAAATTATTTTTAACCCATTTTCTCCTTTAAAATGACCCAGGTCAGCTTACAATTAAAAGACATTATTTATGTTAGTAAAAATGAGTATACAATACTAAAAGAATCGATGAATACAATACCAGAAATCATAAACAACACCAAAATACATTCAATGCTGTAAGGTACAACAGTCCATTTTAAAAACTCCACTAGGCAGCCATTTACTCAGGGAAAGCTGGCCTGAAGAGAAAGATCTCCTTCTCCTTATGGAAGGAAAGTAAAGATGGGGCCAGTCTAGCCTCCTGTGGCAGAGAGTTCTAGAGTCTGGGAGCAGCAACAGAGAAAGCTCTCTCCCGTGTCTGTAATAAACGCACCTGTGAATGTGATGGGATGGAGAGGAAGGCCTCTCCTGATGATCTTACTTATTTATTTATTGAATTTATATGCCGCCCACTCTACCCTATCTTGAGCAGGTTCATATAGGGAGATGCAGTCCATGTGATAGTTTGGGCCCAAACCATTTAGGGCATTGTAGGTTAGAACCATCACTTTGAATTCTGCCTGGGAATGGATCAGGAGCCAGTGTAGCTGCAGTAACAGGGGGATTGTGTGATCTTTGTGTCCAGTCCCAGTTAGGAATCTGGCTGCTGTGCCTTGGACCCACTGAAGTTTCCTGACATCTATCTATCACATTAAAATTTTCAGTAGTCTTTTACCTATTTATATGAGCTATATTCATTTTATTCATCAAATACAAATTTAATTTAGGAGCTTAGGCACAGTCTAGTGGCATACATGCAACATACTGGTAGTTTCAGAATGTTCTTATTAGCTGCCACAAATCCTAATTTAAAAAACACTACCCAACTCCCTTGAATTTAATGTCTGTTTCACTCATTAGCATTGCTATGTGTATATGGAAATGTGTTTTAAATGTATGTTAAAATTCTGGTGCAGGAACATGTCAAATACATCTTTGAAAACATACATCTTGTATGCACATACTCAGCATATATGCATACATGCTGGCCATAGTGCATAGGTAATATTAAACGAATTTAAGTCACAATTAAGTCACAATGATGTAACATGCCAAAAGCTATGGATTTAAATGTAATTCCCATGGATATAATGTGTTCTGCTCCAAATATAACTCAGTAGGGATGTAATCCAATACCTGATGCACACATTACACTATGCTCAGAAGCATTTCCTATTCAGCTGCTCCTGCAGAAGAAATGTAAACAGTTTTTTTAATTTTCTGGGAAAGCTGCTGATTGAGAATAACTCTGCTACATCATTTTCCTGCCCACCAATGTATTATAATATCCAGCTTTCATGGTTTGTGTGATGATCGTATACAGAGCTATTTCTGAGTCTTATAACATCTTCCTTGTACTACATCTTTGGATTTATGTAATGTACTAAAATATTGGAATTACTTGGGGAGATTTAAGACATTGAATGCATCCTGGTAAATCTTGGGTGATTAGTAAATGTGGGCTCAATTTAGACAAAATGAAGCAATAATGTTTGAGCTCTGCAGTTCTGAGATTATAATGATGATCTTATTCAGTTATTCAGCTAAAAAAATGAAAACATTCAAAAAAATGAAAAAGTGACCTAGTCTAGGTCATACAAAAACCATATGATCTTGACCGAAGAGATGTGAAAGATGGACTACAACTAAGCATTCACAGCTAGAGATGCATTCATGCAACCTTTTCTCTTCCCACTCTGTTATAGCTTTGGATAAACAAGAATATTATGGTATCATGAATGTCCCTACATTTACTGTTGATTGAATGCAACCAGGTGGTCCATCAGACTGCTATAGAATCCAGCCATTTTGTATAACTAGAGATACACGGAGCTACTCTTGCCTCTGCTGGGCCACATGACCAATAAGTTGCACAGAAATTGTACATTCTGTATTTTTCATGTGCCTGGACTTCTCAAACAGTAATCTTTTCTCAGGGATCGATGCATCCCACAGATGTTATATGGTTCACTTCCTGTTACCTGAAATCCTGCTCATCGGTTGTGAATCATTCATAAAATTAAGATCCACGCAAATGTTATCCACAAAGAAAGTTCAAAACAGTTGTGTAAATGCACCCTCAAGGACATTTTTGTTGAACTGCAACCTTTGCAGATAAGGAAAAGCAAGGAATCAGCTTCTCGTCTATGTGTTGCCAAACTTTTTTCAGGGTTTTCTTTACTTACCTTTCATTCACCAGACAGTTGCTTTCACAAGTTTATTAGAAATGCTAACCCTCTTTTTCAAAACTTAGATTAATCCTGATCTTGGACATCAGGACGAAAATTTATTTTCAGCTTCTCAGGCTATTGACACCAGTTAACATTCCCTTCCACCAACTTATAACGGTACATTAGGGTGAATTGCATTCCTTCTAGAATTTGTTTTCTTATTACTTCTTAAAACAACATAAACTTCTACAGTCTGCTTCCACTCTCAAGACTGGGTAATATCAAAAGCAGGCCAGCATATTGCCACCTAGATACCTGTGCAGAGAGTCCTTTTGCGGGAATGTTGCCTTGAGCCATCGTAAGGAATGGCTATGTGTTCTGTCCATGTTGTCCCAACTGATTTAAATTATGCTTATTTGAGATGGCTTTTCCATGTTAAAACTGCACACTCACTGATTTGCTCATTTAATGTAATAAGATACTAAAAAGCTACAATGTTTCTGCTTTCTCTTTTGTAGTGAGATTTAGATTAAAGAGAATTGACAGTCTTCCAAGCTGCAAAAGGGGTTTTATGAACTTCTAGTGTCCGCGCTTCTCTTTTATGCTTTAACCGATAGCTTGGCAAAGTACAGTCCTCCAGATGCTGTCAGATTGTAGATCTTACCTACTTTAGCTACCATAACCGATGAAGGATGCTGGGTTAATATAACTGTAACTGGAGGGCCATAGTTTGCTCTTTGCTAACTTAACCATCTAAGGTGGCCAGCTGCTCAACTGGGCCTACATCACACACAGCCCTCTGAGATACAAGTGATTCCCTATTGTAGCCTATTGGCTATTCAATTTTTATTTTTGGGGATTTTTTTTATGCAGCCCCAAGACTGGGCATACAAGTGGATTTTTACATAGCAAGCTGTGTATGATCCTAGTGCTGCTAAGCTTAAGTCTTCAGTTTGTGAAACTTACTTCATTTCAACTCATTTCATTTCAGCCCCAGCGTCCTGTGTTTACTCATGAAAATATACACAGTGGGGGGGAACCGTAAGTATTTTAACCTACTCATGTTCTTCTCTATATAACAGTATTAAAATTATGATGGAGTAAAGAAGGGGAAGCAGTAGCCATTCTGGAAGCCATCTACTAAAGATGCTTGCACTCCAGAGCCCATTGGAGTGCAAGATAGACAAATATGCATGAAAGATAAATATGTAATAAAAGAGGTTGGAGATGGGTTGTCCCTTCTGGATTGGCTACTGTCTGTCCCCGACTTGCTTACCATTGATTCATACATGGGCCATGATCCATATCACCATCCCTTAAAAAGCTCTCAACACCCAGGACTCATGTATGGTAAGAAGGTGTAATCCCAATGGAGGCAAAGGCCAACATCATGCTAGCTAGCACCCAACTGCTAATGTAACAGGACTTCCTTTTCCTCCATTCTCCCCGGAACCTTCCATGCTTCCCCAAAATTGTCTTTGAAAGGTGTCTCGGCCCTTCAGAACATTTTTTGGGAGGGATGCACAGTGGACTGCAGGGAAAGGGACATTGCTCCCACCTGGTTACAGTGACTGATGTAGTTCTCTCAGTGGAAGGAGCTTATTGGATCCTGGCCAGAGGGAACAAGTCAACCGTGGGTTGCATACATGGCTGTGAACAAATGGGAGCAAGACATCTTCAAAACTCCATGGTGAGACACTTGTTTCACATTCATTAGGTGTCTGAATTTTATCTTTGAATAAAAGGAACTTGAGTTTTAAGTCTGAGAAGGATTTCTGCCCGAGACTTTGGTGATCCTCTGTCAATCTCCAGAAATTGTACTGGGTCTGCTAGCCAGAAGCTTGTGGAGGAAATCTTTGTGAAGCTAATAATTTTTACAAAGTCAGGGATTAGTATGTTGTGCAATGCTAGATCTTAACATTTGTGAGTCTGTACAGTTGTTCAAGCCTCCTCAGTACCAATGGCCAGGAACTAATTATGTACTTCCACTGGATCTCATTGCTTTAATTTCTCCTACAGCCCTCCACCCCACTTTCAAAATGGGTTCTGAGGCTGGGAAATCCTCTGGAATAGGTTTTTGGCACCATGCTACACTGGGAGGTGGAGGGGAAGAAAGGACCCCATTCTGCTGACATTTAGTGCACCAAATTTATCAGCTGTTTTATTCAGTAGCAGAACATCTTGTTGTAAGACTTCTTTGGAGGAGTGAAATCCACATTCTGTGGCTTATTTCAAATATTTTGCCACTACTGAAAAAGAAAAGTCACAGTTATAGCTGAAGTTCAGGCTCACACAAAGAAATGCCAAGCTAATTAAACTGTTACACTGAATATTCTGGGCTTCCTTTTTGTTAAATGTCTACTTCAAAATTTCTCAGAAAGGATTATTTCGGTTTTCATTATTATGAGTTGTCAGTAAGAATTTTTTTAGATTTATAGATACATACCCAGCACGAGTAATCTAGGTTGATGTGCTAGACATAGAGGAAAGAAAAGATTTCATTCTGCAGATGGCAGACCTGGAGGAAACTTCTTTAACGAACAAGTGTGCTGTTTCATAGATCACAATGCAAGCTGGGGTTGAGCAGTGTGGAATGATTTCAAAACCCCAAGAAACAATTTAAATCGATTTTCAAATGACCTAATTAATACTTTTCCTGACCAAACACAACATAAAAAGAGCATAACAGTGTGAAATTGAATAAAGCTACTATCATGATTATAATTCAGAATCAAAGACTACACCCCCCAGATGCCTTAGGAGCAACAAAATATATAAATGCTAAAAATCCGAAAGCAAAGAATTTATGTTTGGCTCTCTGTATAAGATGTAGAGGCATTAGGCAAGATTCTTGTATACTACCAGTAAACATGTCTACTCAGGAATAGATCACACTGAACTTAGTCCAGCGTACTCCCATATAAGCTGATCTTAGATTGTAGTCTAACTGCCTAGAATTTTATAGAAGCAAGGGCAGGTAGTTAATGAGCAAAACATCATTTCCCTATAACATGGGAAATAAATGTCTGAATGTTCATAATTTGACTGATATTATATGATCCACTCTAAGGTAATTTAGTATTATTATTCCCCATAATAATGTATATAAGGGGAAAAAAGCTGAAAATAACGTCTTGCTTGAAGCCATCTCATAAATTCATGGTACTGCCACAATGTGAACTGGAACTTCCTGATCCATGTTTAAATCTGTTAACCATCACAATGCATCAACTCTCTGTTAAAGTTAATATTTTGATCTGTGTGTTATATTCCACATTTCTCCCATGATGGAACACAAGACAGCATCAGTGCCATTTCTAGGAAGCCTACTGTCTGAGCACTGAGCATATCTAAGCTCACTGGTCAGTCCTGTTGAACAAAACATGACTCACATCTGAGTAGGCACATTGAATACAGAGTTGCATCGCAACTTAATAGCAAACTTTTTGATCTTTAGGCTGGTTTCTAGGTTTGTTTGTTTATTTATTTATTTATTAGATTTCTTCCCCGCCCCTCTAGACTGTCACTTGGGATGGCTTACATAGATAAAAACACATCAATATAAACATGTATAAAATCATAAAAAAATACAATTACAATTATAACGATTAATTCCAAAACAATACATTATCAAGATGGCAAAAAAAAACCTTAATTGACTGGAGGGAAGGGCTGCTTGAATAGCCAAGTTTTTAACTGGCTTTTGAAGACACCCAGCGAGGGTGCCAGCCAAATTTCAGTCGGGAGAGTGTACCACAGCCGAGGGGCCACCGCCGAGAAGGCCCAGTTTCTTGTTTTTTCGTTCCGGGCCTCCTTCGGCGTCAGGCCCCTCAGCCAGCCCTGCTGGCTATATCAGGTGATTCGGGTAAATCTAGGTGGGAGAAGACGATCTGCCAAATATTGAGGTCCCAAACCGTTTAGGGCTTTATATGTAATCATTAACACTTTGAAGTCAATGTGGAAACGGATGGGCAACCAGTGCAAGGCAGCCAGAGTGGGGGACATATGCTGATATTTCCTCACCCCACTGAGAAGCCTGGCTGCCGCATTCTGGACCACCTGAAGTTTCCGCATCAACCTCAAAGGCAGCCCCACGTAGAGTGCATAGGTTGCAATCCCAACCTATGCACTCATTTTGGAACTCCAGTTTGAACAGTGAGAGCCTGGCCTCAACACTTGGCTAAGGTTATTTTAGGGATTTCCAGTTCCCCTCACCATGGCTGTGCAGTGCTTTGTCAAATGAAAAATCCTGCAGGACTCAAAATCTAGACTTCTGAGATTTCATAAGTTTAATAAAGACATCACCCACTCTTGCCTTTGGACTCTGCTTTCTTGAAGGGGAAAGGATTAAAATGATTTCATTTTTGATCCTATCTATCCATCCACTATAATGTCAAATACTGTATAATTCTTCTACCTAGAAAGCAAACATCGTGCCCTCCATGGCAACCTTGCCAGCATTGCACTTAAGCTAAATTCTAAAACTAAAGGTTTCTACCTCCATTTAGACCAGTTTTATAGGAAATAAAATTGCTCTAAAAACCTTCTTGTATTCCACCTGAACTACAATGGGACGTGTAGCCTGTAACTGAAGAGCACAGTTCATCTTCTTTGTGGAAAGGGCTGCCTTTGAGCAATGGGCAACATCAAACACTTTATACTGCTAAACAAAATTACATACATACATACATACATACATACATACATACATACATACATACATACATACATACATACATACATACATACATACATACATACATACATACATACATACATACAATCACTTTGTAGCCAATCAGGCTGTACACAAGAACATTGATTAAACCAGTCTTCAAAATAGTATTTGAAATCTAACATAAGTGCATATAAACAAGCATAAAATAATACAATAATAGTAATAGAATAATAACATAAGCATTCTCAAAATATTAACAAGATGCGAAATTAATTTGAAGAACATAATTAATTTATACTGCACTGAATGTGGAAGGTTTGTCTTGTCCTCAATAAATGGCCTATGCATAATGTTTGCAATAGCAAAGCATATTTAAATGTGTTGGGGTCTGTGAGTTCATATTTGATTTTGGAGGCCTTTTATGATTATGAAGTGGACAATTTTTCATCTCATTTAGCTCTAAACTATCTTTGTTACCAAATGTATGCCTAGTGAGGTGACGTAGCTAATTACCTTGTGGTTCCTTGGGCATCTTTGCAAATGAATTTGCATTATCACGTATATGTGGACATTGTGTTAGTATTTCTCATAGTGCAGCATACCAGTTGCTGCTGAACCAGCTGGAGAATGTGTACGCAGCTGAGGTGAGCCTGTCCTAGTTGCATTTGTATCTCTCCTTTCCTCCAGTGAGCTCAGGAGAGCAGACAATGCTCTCTTCTCCCCGCATTATCCCCACAGCTACCCTGTGAGGTAGGTCGGGCTGAGAGAGGTCACCCAGTGCTGAGCCCGGATTCAAACTCACATCTCCTAGTCTAACCCTCTCACCAATAAACCACATTGGTTATATGTGGCATATCTTTCTGAGTGAAGTTTGCTAAATATTGAGACCTAAATCCAGTTTTAATTCTAACTAAAGTAGGGGCCATTGAAAACAATGGGACTTATCTTAATGCTGGCTAACAGGCAGATTTCATTTTAAATGTGTCTGTTCTAACTGGAAATAAAACTGAATCTAGTCCTTAGATGTATTTTCTCTGTTATTTTAGAGGTGAATTCTTTCCTTCTAATTCTTCTGCATACCATGCACATTTAAAAGTGGAAGACTCTTTAAATTATCACGTATTGCAGAATTAGTTTTGCATTTCTTAACTGATTCTAGTGAATTAGTTGAGTAACCACAACTGATTTAGAAACCAGATTCTTTGGAGTAAAAATATTCTAGTCCATTTAGTTTTGAGTGAACCCATATGCCGTACTCTGCTTAGCTAGCTTGTGAGTTGCTCTCAAGATTGTGGCTCAAATTATGTTTAACATTGTCTTTACATAAACTTTTATTAGTAGTTTATTTTTATCTTCAAGGGACTAATGAACAAGCTGTTTGTTCTAGCTTAATGCAAAGCGTTCACTTTTTTAAAATGCATCCATTTGTCCTGTTTAAGGTTTCAGGTTCTGTATAACTATACTCCTAGGAATGAAGATGAATTGGAGCTGAGAGAGGGAGATGTCATTGATGTGATGGAAAAGTGTGATGATGGATGGTTTGTGGGTATGTTTATTTTAAATTCAGTTGTGCCTTAGGCAAAAATTAATACCTCAGAGATCATGTAGCTGAAGGGTCTGATGTGCTATGGCTAACAAACCAGACTTAGTGTGATCACTATAGTAATGCTAACTTTGATTAATCTTCTCAAAAATTAGGTTTTTTGTTATGCCTTGTAGACAGAATGCACGTTCTTAAATCTTGTCATCATACACAATACATATCACTCTCTCATTAAGATTTCTGGTGATGTTTTGATACACCCGTGGAACTCACACACAGGACTACCTCTTGGGGTTTTTTTATGAGCTCACCTGTTCAGCCTCCCCTAATCATTTGTATCTGGGTACAAATCTAGCAGTATAAGATGGCTTGGAGCCCTGCAACCAAAGCACAAGGCATTGATACGTGCAGTGCACATGCTACATGAGGTCTGGCAAAGATGTATTATGATCAGAGGCAGTTTGTATTCCCCTGTCTACTTCTGATTGTTGGGTGCCTTGTTTAACAACAAGGACATATCTCCATAAAAAGGTAAAGGTTCCCCTTGACAATTTTTGTCCAGTCGTGTTCGACTCTAGGGGGTGGTCCTCATCCCCGTTTCCAAGCCATAGAGCCAGCATTTTTGTCTGAAGACAATCTTCCATGGTCACTTGGCCAGTGCAACTTAGACACGGAACGCTGTTACCTTCCCACCGAGGTGGTCCCTATTGATCTACTTGCATTTGCATGCTTTCGAACCGCTAGGTTGGTGGGAGCTGGGACAAGCGACGGGAGCTCACTCCGTCGTGTGGATTCAGTCTTATGACTGCTGGTCTTCTGACCCTGCAGCACAGGCTTCTGCGGTTTAGCCCACAGCGCCACCACGTCCCATATCTCCATAACCCCTTTTATTTTGAAAAGGAGGCAGTATTCTCAGAAAAGTGTTCTCTGTACTTTGATGTGTTATGTGCTGCTAGTTATACTAGCCATCCTCATAAACTTTGGTAGAGATGTGTTGGAGGTGCCTCTGTGTGCCTGCGTGTACACACACACATGCACACGCACACACACACATCTATATTGAGAGAGAAAGAGTGAGATCGTAGAGTTAAATAAATGGGTATCCCATTCCAACAAACGAAGGGATACTCTTAACACATTTTTAGAAGCTGTGCTCCTTTCAGTGGCAAAAGACATTGCTCTTGTATCTTGTATTCTAACAAGTCTTGTTTCATGATTGGTCATTAGAAGGTTAAACCAATGGAGAAATCTTCAATGCTTGCTTTGGCATTTCACTGCTGAAGAGGCAAACTAGATTTTAAACGTTTAAAGTGCCCTTGTCTCTTCAACAGTGAGCTAGTCTAGTGAGAGTGTCCAAAATCCATGATTAAATCACAGTTCTCCCCATTTTACATCCATACTATTTTAGGATGATTTCCACACAGAATTCCCTTTGCAATGTAATGTACTCTGTATTGTCCAAATGATATAGCATATGCTGTGTTAATGAAATATCTTGAAATGTAAAGGCTATCTTTAGATATTTTTTTTTGTTTTGTTTTTTAACCTCTAGTGCTATGTTTCACTTATTACTTCTACTTTCAGGAACGTCCAGAAGAACAAAATTCTTTGGTACTTTCCCTGGGAACTATGTCAAGAGGCTGTGAAATGTTGTTTGTTTCTCTCTCCTCCCCCCCTCTTAATTATTTATGCTGCATTTCTACAACACATCTGCATATAAAGCTGCTAGAAAACATGCTCCACCAGCCTTCTGTTTTCCTGCTTTGCAGTTCCAGGTAGAAATCACCTAGTTCATCTTCGCCATTCCCATCTTCATCTGCCAGCCAGCAGTATTATCGTAACAGCTATGATGGGATAATAACTGAGCTTTTATGAAACAAGAGGAATTAGTTCAGCATTTAGAATAACTCTCCTTTTTTGTGTGTGCATCAAATCCTTGGCTGCTCCCCCACGAATTTGAAATATGAATATAAGGAAAAAGCTTAGTGCAAGGTGCATTGTGACACTTTAAGTTACCAATGTTATTTGAAATAATTTGCAGCACTGTTCTTAAGAAAAAAAAATCTACCTTTACTTCATATATAGAGCAGGTTGTGGTTCACTACTTTTTAACTTTTTTTAAGTTTTCACATTCTTTTTAAGTTCAGTAGCATACGTTGCTTTCACTTTGCTGTGTCACACATTTGCCTGTTTTCACCCAATTGCAATACAAGATAATTACTAAAATAGATAGTTTCCCTGCCCTTTTGTCCTGCAGTGTATGCAGAGTGGTTGTAAAATCTCAGGCAGAAGGAATTAAACAGAGGAATTGGTACTAGAATATGTGCTAAGCATGGTTCCCAGCTAGAGCTCTTAAGACTTTGTAAGTCATGGGATGAGGGAATCAGGAGTCCATTATATCCTCCCTTTTCTTTTCCAAATAAGAGCAGTTTCACGTATGAATGATACCTGCAAATATAGGAAGGTGTAGATATTGGAGTTTAAACTTCCCATATTTGCACCTATTAACATCTGAAGCAGATAAATTATGCTTCCAATGCAGTAAAGTGTGTCACAGAGAAAATGTGCAGTCATAATCATGCATTAATGATATGTACAAATAAAGAAAGTGTGAGCAGGAAATGTCCTAAGCAGAGAGGGACTGCACAGAAAGGTGAGTGCGCCCAGAGCAATTATGGCACATGTATATCTTACAGGGAACTTGATCAAGTTCCCATTTCCTGCACATACAGGAAACATGTCATGTGTCCTCACGTATTTGTGCATATTTTTAACATCTGAAGCATGTCCATATTTGTAGCTTAGCATTGAACAAATGCAGAATGTGAAAAATGTAAGTTAACCACAGGCTATTATGAAGCAAGCCAACGGAGTCCTCCGCTCTGTCACAAAATAATGTGATAACAACAAAGTATCTGAAAGTCCAGTATTCAAATGCATTTCTCATACGTAGCTTTGGCAAGATAAAAACAATGCTAGTACATGTTTTTACTGTAACATAGTCACTGAAGAGGAGCGAGAGAAGGGGCATCCACAGAAAATATCACATAATGTTATTACTTTGCTACATACGTTTGCACATGAATTTTAAGAAATATATTTTGGTTTTTTAGCAATGGAGCATTAAAAGTAAGAAACAACAACAAAAAGGCACAAACATGAAAGTCACTGTATGCGAGCGAATTATCATCCCTTGGTTTAATGAGAAGTATTGGAATACAGTATTTGTTTTCTGTATACAGCATAAATAGCATAGGGTGGAAAATACATGACTTCCCATATCTATAGCTTTATGCAAAGCAGCCCAGATTTGGTTTTGCTGGCACCTTAAGGAAGGCAAAAACAAAGTGAGATATAACAATTTTAACTACATTTCTTTTGTGGTAAAAGACAGATCTTGCAAATTTGTCATCTTGTAGCATTTTGTACATATGTTTGCTTTTTTGTACAGAGCGATTTTATTGTTCATTGTTTTAGCAGAGAGAGAGAGAGAGGAAAAAATCAAGTTGTTTATTTGATCTTCAGCCCACTCCCTTTCCACTAATAAAATATCATCCTTGTCTTCTTTATTTGCCCCATCCTCTGTATAAGCACATTTGGATAGTGCAATTCTGTAAAATAGCATTCGATGCAAAGTTTTATGAATTATAATATGGTTTTACCAGCCAAATCTTTAAACTTGTATATACGTCTTTATTATGGAGAAATGTCAGTAAGACAGATAAAGAATCACCTTTGTCCAGCATACCTTTATTACTACAAATTTCATGGCAAAAGCTTTATCTTTCAAAGGCTTTCCATTATAAACTTAGATGTGCATGCAGCTTTGCTGTGAAATCAATACTTTGATGCCATTTATGATGGGAGACTTAAATGTCTGTTGCCTGTGATATTTAAAAAAGAAGCACTGTTTCTACTCTGTATCTGATTTTAATAGAACAAGTTTTTCATACCTGGCTTTCAGGTAATTGACTTTGAATTCTTACATGCAAGAGGTATCTGTGTTTTTTCCTTGAATAGACTTCTAATAAAATTTGCTTGGAGTATATGATTGTGTCTTGTTAATTATAAACTGTATAGCAGAGCATCTAAAGCTTAAGTTTAATAGGTTGGAATTAAAATGCTGAGTAGCTGGGTGCATCATCCTGGAGATGGGCATCATGAAGAAAACAAAGACCCAACTCCTTTTCTGAAGCTAGTAGCTTATGAAGCTAGAATAAGTAAGTATCTTTCAACATAGCTGAAGTTGTAAACATGATTAAGGTGCAGATTTATAGCATGCTTGCCCATTCCCTCTGCCCCCTGTTCTTTTCCTACAATAAATAGGCTACCATTTCAAAGATAGCTTTTCCTTGCAGTGAAATAAATTAGGAACATTTAGTAATGCTCGGAGATAAGACAGTAGCAATATTCTAGTGCAGCCAGGAGGAAAAAGATCTGTTGTTATTCATTTACAGATGTAATTTCCTTATGATTTATACACACTTAAAATTCCATGACATGATCCTAAAGCTGAGCATAATGGATAAACATAGATAACTGGGGAAATAAAATAGTTTTATGCCTGATCTACAAAATTTAGTGAAGATTTATGTAGCATATTGTCACGGTACCCAGTCAAGCATCTGTCACTATAGCCACTGAGCTACACTATTCTGTCCCATTCAGAGGTGGAATAGCTTAGGTAGGAGTCAGATATGGTGAAAGCTATGGAAGATGACTAAGACCATATCCCTCCCCACACCTCTGTCTCCCAGACTTGGTGGTGTTCCAAACAAACAGTTCCCAAGAATCAGTGCACCAACCTTGTGATGTAACTGCCAGGATTCCACACAATGACAGAAAAATCCCAGTAGCTGATTGAAGCAAGGACTGGTTTCAGTACCGCAACTGTATCAGTCAAAAACCTGGAAAGTTGCTTGAAAGGATTTTTGTAGTTTATTAAAAAGAAACAAAGAAAGAACAACAGGTAAAAAGGTCAAGAGAGTAAAAATTACATGATTTGGTTTTTCAAAATACAGGGGCAAATGCAAATCAATTCAAGAGAATAATTCACCAGAAAATAAAAGCTGATCTGCCCTATCTAACACTCACACCTTGGGTAGTGTATTTCTGGAATGTGCACAAAATGCATCCTCCCAGCAGAGCTTCATGGGGTGGTAAATGGACCCAGTTTCTTCCTTAGAGTATAATTAAGCCCTTCCGAAGCATCTCTCTGACGAGCAGGGGAGCAAAACACTTTGCTTCTCAGAGACCTGCTAGGCTAATTAGTTTTTCTTAATCTCTTTTATACAAATAAATGGACCATTACCCTCCTGTTGCCAACAACATCTTAAATCCCCTTTCATGTTTTGTTAGGACAAAAGACAGCTTCAATACTTGCTGCCTTTCCCACTGCCAAATATGCATAACTTATTTATTTATTTATCTGTTTATTACTATAACTCTCTTGGAATTAAACAAACTGATTTTTCCAAGTCATGAGTTACAGTTAAGGTGTTTTGCTTTGATATGTCCTTTGATAAGATAAACATGGGAGCATCAGTTCCTATCTCAGCCCTTTCTTTGAAGTGATCAGGGAAACCCTTTCTTTGAAGTGTTCAATAACAGGAGGTATGTTGAAGGTGTGGATTGTCCTTTTACATGCTGATCTCTGCCTGTTAGCTCCCAGGCACTCACAAAAGCACTAGTGTCTAGCAATTAAATCCATATTTCATATTTCCCCACATTCTCAGTTTCTCCACACATGTAATACCATCATGCCATACAAACTGGCCACCTCAGATTTGTCTTATAGCAAATGCTAATGATAGACATATTAGTTTTTAAAATAGAAATCCAAATAGCATATGAAAATTGCTTTGTTTCTACATTTTTCAATAAAAAATACTTGGAAGTTCACTGATTTCCTTATAAAGAGGATGGAAAGGACTTAACTGAAAATAATTGGAGAATTTAGACAGAGGCCCTTGAGTGCTTTGCTCTTAAACGTTCCAGGAGTGGAAGGGTTAGCTGTGTTAAGACTGTTCAGGAAAAAAACCAACAGCTGTGAAGCACCTTGAAAATATTTGGAATAGCTTTTGTGGACTGCAGCTGTTTTAATCTGATGTAATGGCCCCCTCACATTTATGCAAATTAAAACCCGCTAGTCTTGCCTTAGATTTTTTTTCCTTGTTTTAGCTATTAAAATCTACATTTGTACATAATCAGCCATGTCTGTGGAGCAGAATTAGGAGTGCTAACTTTTGTTTTCACAAGCTCCTTCTCTTTTAATGTGGCAGGAATGTGCAACATGGACCTCTCCATGCTGTACCTATTGTAGCTGTACCTATCAAATCTGGCCAAGTGAATGAGAATTTCATTTGTTTCATGATTGCTAAGAACTTGCTCCAATCTTCTCCATAAACCAGATGTGAAAAACCAGCTTGGAGCAGTGAGCATTTTGAACTATTTTTTTTCCATCTTTCCCCACCCAGCCGTGCTGTAGTCCAAAGATTAAAGTTCCTAAGATCTGGAATGAACTTTATTGCAATAGGAGAGCTAATCATATCCTTGGGGCTACAATCCTATACAAACTGACCTTGGACTAATTCCTGTTGCGCTCCTTGCCCATGAGTAGGCATGCACAAGATTACACTGCAAACTATTTGGTTGAGAATGCTTACCCTTGCATTGTGCCCTGAATTTTCTCTCACACACATAAACACAAGGTAACATTTGCCACTGTAACCATGTGCACTTGGAAAGCAGCATTTCACCACAGGAGCCTATAAGTCAGGGGTGGACAATTTGTGGGTAAGCATACTCTCCCGCTAGCCGCTGCTAGTGCTCTGCTGAATTTGCTCAGGTGTGGTGGTACAAACAGCAAAAAGAAAAACTGAAGTCTATCAACTTCCATCATCTCAAAAGATTCCAGTGGCAGACAGCACAAAATTTCTGCAGTGTGTACCCCCATGCCTCTATTGCCCATATACTCACACAGACAATTGTCCACTGAGGTTGGGAATATGACCTACATTTTATTTGATGTTTAAAAAGATTCCACTTGGTCCACATTTAGATCTGGTTATTTCAATGTATGGAATTGTCTGTTTTCACTGAGGTCTTGTTACAGTCCAAAGCACTGCACATAAACAGGCTGGTGGTGTTTTGATGTCTTTGTTCTAGTTAGAATATTCTTAAGCTTAACCGGGTGGGTTTCAAGCCAACAGAAGCATGCCTCTAAGAAGTGACAGAAAAGAGTAATGAGCTATTTCAGAAGAGGCACAGAAGATATCATCTTGGACATCATGCTGCTATTTTTATCCATTATTCAACCTTCCAGTTCCCGTTATCTAAATGCCAAGCTCTACATGACATATAGCATGCCCATTAGACACTGAGGTCATATCAGTGTTCCAAATATGTCATTCCAGCAACTTCCATTGTCTGAGGAATCATACTCGTGAACAAAGCCCATGTTTGTTTTTATTTTATTTGTATAGCATAAAAGAGAAAGCATTTCTGGTCACCATGTATGGGCATGAATGTTGGACAGTTAAGAAGACTGACAGGAAAAAAAATTGATTTGTTTGAAATATGGTGCTGGAGGAGACCTTTGCAGATACCCTGGACTATCAGAAAGACAAACAAGTGGGTCCTAGATCAAATCAGGCCTGAACTATCTCTAGAGGCAGAAAGGTTGAAACTGCAAATGCAAAATGGGCATATCATGAGAAGGCAGGATTCTTAGGAAAAGAGAATAATACTGGGAAATGTGTAAGGCAGCAGGAAAAGAGGAAAACCAAATGCAAAATGGATTAACTCCCTAAAGGATCTACAGGCTTGAGTTTACAAGAGCTGAACAGGGCAGTTGAGGACAGGACAGCTTGGAAATCTCTCATTCATTGGGTCACCATAAGTCAGAGGTGACAGCACAAAAAAAAAAAAACCCTTTAAAAACATAATGACAGCACAATAATAAATAAGTCAGAGGTGACAGCACCAAAAAAAAAAAAAACCTTTAAAAACATAATGACAGCACAATAATACAAAACTACATCCCCACCATGCAGGCTAGGGAATTCTGGGGGCTGTAGTTCAGAAAAAGGAATATTCTCCAAGCTATAGTTGAAAACTCTCTGAAATACCATTACGTAAACGTGTTTCTAATACAGCTTTTGGTCATTGCTATTTTCACTTCCTTCATCTGAGAGCCTCTCCAGGGAGGTTTGCAGTGCAGATTGGTATGAGTCAGGACTCTGGTCTCTTTCCCCCATACATCAAGAACCATTCACTCCAGGCTTCTATAATGTACTTATTATTATTTTTCCCTGAGTATGATCCAGTTTCTTCAGAGTTAGGTTTCCATACAACACATCCCCTTCTTCCCTCTCCAATCTCAAATCCACCCCATTCACTGCCCTGTCTCCTTCTCTTGTCACTTGACGTCACCTCAGCTGGTAGTGGAAATGTCTAAATATTTTGTAAAGGGGGTTGGGTTTCTTCCTAACATGAAGAAGAATCAGCAGAGTTTGAATAAGAGCTTACTCTCTCCCCCTCCCCAGAATAAAACAGCATCATGTATATATTGATCCTGCCAGACATGAAGCAGAGGACTGCAATGCTGAGATGAATGCCCCTTCCCCTAGTTTAGAAAGGAATCCAGAGGCAACCCTGCTCTGTGCTGAGAAAACCCCTACTTATGGCACCACAGCTGATGTCAGATGAGTTCTCATTGTACACACCCACACAGGAACTGGGCTGTTCCAAGAGAAACAGGCAGACAGAGATAACATCTGGAATCACCTGGGCCGCCAAAAAACAAGCAAACCTCCATTCCCAAGTGAAGGAAAATAAATGGAAGTTCAACCCAGAGTGCAGAACACGCAATTATGGGCTCAAGTTACAGGAAGCCAGATTTTAGTTGAATATGAGGAAAAACTTCCTAACTGTTAGAGCAGTACAGCAACGGAACCAATTACCTTGAGAAGTGGTGAGTACTTCAACACAGGAGCCACTCAAGAGAAATTTAGACAACCACCTGGCAGAGATCCTTTGATTTGTATT